AATACACTAATGATAGCTGATGAGCTAAAAAAAAAAATTGCAAATATATCTTACAATGTTTTAAGAAAGTTTACAAATTTGTGTTGGGCCACATTCAAAGCTGTCCTGGGCAGCATGTGGCCCATGGGCTGCAGGTTGGACAAGCTGGCTCTAAAGGCCTTTGTAGTTAGGATTTAACGACCAAAAAATTACCTACCAACAACGGAAAGCAAAAGGTCCATTCCACATAGTCCCCAAGAGAAAAAGAGTTGGCAGTGGCTATGATTCCTTTACCCAGCCACCAGCTCCTGAAGGACAGAGGTGGCAGATGAAGATGAGGAGCAGAGTCTGGCTTTATCTCTTGCTGCCCAGCTATGCTCAAGGCTTACCTTTCATCTCCAAAATCCAGCACTCCAGTTTCAGGCTGAAGTATGCCAGCTCTTCACTGGTGCTTTTGCCTCCATTCTCCACAGCCTGGCCCCAGTTCAGTCCACCCAGGGAGCCAGCCACATTTAGATAGAAGTTAGTGATGATTGATTATTAGAAAATAATTTTTACAATTGCCCTGTTCGCTTTTTGCTGGCTTTGTTTTCAGATACTGGGTAATAATGCAGGTGCTAAGTCAGACGCAAAGGCACTTCTTCCTTCCAGAAAGTACACAGGGCTCAGAAACTTGTTCAGAATGTATTTGCACTTTGAAGTGGCTGATCCATTCTTAAAGACCTTGTAAAATGCCTGCCATGAACAGAAGTTACCTTAGCCTCTCTGAGAAGTAATTCATGCTGTGACTTATAAAATATCAGCTCTTTCCTTACGTGTGGCCTGAAAGGCATTCTTTTGTTTCAGCTAGCCACAGATTTGCTGACTACCAGCTACTCAAAGTCCGAAATCCTTGGTTGGAGGCCTACTGTAGGCCAGACCCTTTTAGAGTAGCCCTTAGCTCTCCCACCTTCTCAAAGTGGCACTATCTGCCTGCTCTGTGGATGAGCAAACTGATCATGTAGCACATTCTGGGGTAATTCTTACTGCATTTCAGATGTGTTTTCTTGCCCTGATTCCTCCTCATGGAAAGAATTATCTCTGTAACCTCATCACTGTATCTGGCAGCACAATGAGAGGGCCCATGGTAGTTGAAAACATGCATATATTTTAAATCAGCAGGAGTTTGATAGTCTTCTTCTTGGCTGTAAATCATCAAAGAATTCCTCAGTTGCAAGGGTTCCATTATTCACACAGAAAGATGCTAATAAAAGTCCTTATATACCAACAGCTTTCTCTTATTTCCTTCTCTCTTTCTTCGCTTTTCCCTTTCTACTTTCTTGCTTCCCTCCCTCCCTGTCTCCCACCCTCCCTTCCTTCCTTCCTCTCTCCTTCCCTCCCTCCCTTCCTTCTCCCCATTTTTCTTTGCTTCCCTTATTTCTTTGGATGATGTAAATCACTGAGATTGCAATAAACAGCCTAAAGGTTTTAGGGTTTCAGTGAACTAAGATTTACACATCACAGCTAATCACTAGTTTGTCCTTACTACAGTAAACTTAACTTCTTGCCCTCTGTGCAGTTAAGGGAACCAAAACGAATTCAACTCCACACTCTGGATATCCACAATGAAGTCCTGTGCCTTGACATGCATCACTTACAGTAAAAACTTTGGTTTTACAAATTGATTCAGTGTCCCTCAATTCCATCTGGAGAGTAGAGGTTGTCATGTAAAACAAAGACAACTCTGGTTTCTGCATAGAACAAGAGCCATATGTGGAACTGAAGGCATTACTTTTCAAAGTAGCTTGTTTCCAACAACAGCTTGGGGAATCTCCTTTTGTGATAGCAAGAAAAGTTAGCACAAGGAAACATAGGTTCCCCCACCAACCACCCAAATCCCTTAATCTTTTCATGTTGAATCTTTGCCACTGAAACCTAAGGAAATAACTTGGTTTAAATATAATAGTTATGCGTTACCATAGCCTGATACTAGGTGGGGTTTCAAAAACAGTTTTTATTTCCAATATATGCCCTTTGATGATAGAATAACATGATCCTTTTAGTAATTAGTAATGCTTTTCAAGAATTGCCCTCACAGAAGAAATTGACATAATTTTACAAGCATGGTTTGTTTCATATTAATATTTGTACATAGATACAGAGAAGATATTATAGGCATGCAAAAATATTATACTTAATAACATAGAAACAAATAAAACCCCAATTGGAAAGCTTCTCATCCTCCTGTCAGCTTGAAAAAAACAAAAGCCTAGGGAACTATGGCACTATGTATGTTTGACGGTTTTCTCATTAAGAAAAAAGTCATATTTCTTTACAGAAGTATATTTCAGAACATAAAGGTTCTGGTAACCTGAAAAAACTGCAAAATTTCTCTTCTAAGCTCACAGAAATTTGCTTTAACTATTTTCTTTGTAATTCTAAGAAAAAGACCATATGATGTGATAAAATATAATAATAATAATATTAAGGCATTATTCAAGGAATGGGGAGAAACATTTTACTTTCATTGACTTTAATATCAAAAAGTCTGCAGGAAATGCTCATAATTTAAAGTTAAGTATAAGAAAGCGAAATACAAAATATCATGAGGCAAATTTTGTAAAAGCTGGAAACGTACATATTAAAAAGATTAAAAAGATACATACTAAAATGTGAGCATTTGTTTCTCTGCATGTTGAGATTAATTATTGGCCATGCTACATTCTTTATTCTTTCATGCTACTTTCCACTTCTACAGTGATTAGCTTATTTTCTTTTTAAGAGAAATGTATTAGCTTTAAAACACACAAATTAAAATAACAGAAGGCCTTCTCTATTAGTAGAAATCAAACAGGAGAAAAGTAGAAAATAATGTTGCTTTGGGAAAGTCAAACTTTGGGTTTGTTTTTTTTTTTTCTTTCCTTCTTTTTTCCAGCAGTCAGCAAGCTTTTTCTGTAAAGCGCTCTCTAAGTATCTTGTGCTTTGTGGTTCATACAATGTCTATTGCAAAAATTCCGCTCTGCCATTGCAATGCAAAAGTAGTTGGATCATATGTAATGAATGGGAATTGTGTTCCAATACAATTGTATTTATTAACACAAATTTGAATATCATGTACTTTTGTATATTGTGAAATATTATTCTTCTTTTGACTTTTTTCCCCACTATTTAAAAATGTAAAAACCATTTATAGCCTATGGGTCATATAGAAACACATCATAGGCCAGATTTGGATCTCAGGCCATAGTTTGCCAACCCCTGCTCTATTCTGTTATTCCACATTTTCCAGAAAATTACAAGCATAAATTATCTTTCAGTTTTCTTTTTAATAACATCAGAAAAATTTAAAATGGGTGCATGTGCTCAGATGGCTCAGATTACAAAAATGCATTCCAGTGGGTAGGAACCAGATTGGTTTCTGCTCCTGAAAACTGAAATCCTAGGTCTGTCGGGGCTAGGTCTGCACTAATTAGAATTCCATTCAGGCTGATGAAAAAGGGGCTCTTTCCATGCAAGCCTGGCAATTCCAGAGCTGTCCGTTGCCACGCAGCTCCAGGTATCTGCCAACTGTTTCCACAACATTCTTCTGAGCCTTCACCAGGACCTTAGTGTGGAGGAGGCAATGATTCTCCCCTCTGGCCACCACAAGGGCTGAACTGGAGGCACTTTCCCCAGGATTTGACTCAGAAGTAACCCCACACTGGGACCTCGCTGGATCAAAGAGGATGCTGTTATACCCATAGGAGATGGATATGTGAAGCCAGGGACCATTGAAGTTCAGCATTGTGATCGTGTGGTCCTTTTGAGTGACTACTGCAAGCTGCAGTGATGCTGGGGCGGGAGGGAGTGGAGTTAGATCCTGCATGCCTCTTTCAAGTGTTAGTGGACTGTTTTGTTTAAATCTTGCTTATTCCTGGAGTCTTTTGTTATTGTTGCTTTTGTTATTTTTTTAAATACTTTTTTTGGTCTTTAACTGCTTCATTATCTATTCCAGTAGTGAATAGATTCATCCAAACTGAATTTACTGGGAGGCCGAGGCAGGCAAACCACTTGTGGTCAGGAGTTCAAGACCAGCCTGGCCAACATGGTGAAACCCTGTCTGTACTAAAAATACAAAAATTAGCCAAGCATGGTGGCACATGCCTGTGGTCCCAGCTACTTGGGAGGCTGAGGGAGGAGAATTGCTTGAACCCGGGAGGCAGAGGCTGCAGTGAGCCAAAATCACGCCACTGTACTCCAGTGTGGGCTACAGAGCGAGACTCTCTCTCAAAAACAAAAAACAAATAAACCCTTCCAAACCGCATCTAAACAACTCACAATAACTGTGGAGACAGGGACAGTGAGTGTCTTGGGGAGGTGCACAGTTGTGGGAGATGGAAATGCCATAAAAACCTAGAGGCTGAATCAAAGAAGGCAGAATGTAGAATTCAAATAGTCAATCAATCAATCACAAAGCACTTACTAAACACCTATCATGTTCTAAATCTCTATGGTCCCTGTCACCTTTTATTTGCTCTCTGTACTTATGATTGGACAGACACGATGTGCTTCCCGTGCTGAGGGAGGGTCAATGGAGGAGTACATGGAACATTGTCTTTTAACACAATTTTACAACTTAGTGAAGACTCAAAATTTTGCTTATCAGAAGAGGACTTTATTCAGATGACATAAGAGTACTAATTAGGATCCTTTATTTGTTTAAGAACATGTTTCTTTTTTGCGACGGAGTCTGGCTCTGTCACCCAGGCTGGAGTGCGGTGGCGCGATATTGGCTCACTGCAACCTCCGCCTCCTGGGTTCCATTGATTCTCCTGCCTCAGTCTCCCTAGTGGCTGGGACTACAGGTGTGCACCGCCACGTCTGGCTAATTTTGGTATTTTTCAGTAGAGACGGGGTTTCATCATATTGGCCAGGCTGGTCTCGATCTCCTGATCTCGTGACCCACCCACCTTGGCCTCCTAAAGTACTGGGATTACAGGCGTGAGCCACCGTGCTCAGCCTTGGAAGTGTTTCTTAATAGTTCATGTTAAAAAAAACCCAAAAGTATGTCTATAGATTTCATGTTTTATTTGGCAGAGAAAAGTCCCACTGTACAAGGCAGACTTAAAAGGATTTGAACATAAGGAGAAGAGTCTGATGCATTTGCTTTTCTTCTCAGGGAGAAGAATCCCTGACTTCAGAACCCCTGAGGTCCTGCAAGTGATTTGTATTAGAGCATCCCTGCAGTTGACTGTCTGACAGTCACCAGATGCTGGATTGATCTGCAAGTGCCAGAAGTGCACAAAGACATCACTCCAGCAAGAAAGAGCTCTGGGCTGGAGTGTGACTCCAGCGCCCTGGAGGACTGGTAGGAAACGTCATAAACTTTCTCCCTCTTTGACAGATCTGCTGTTTTAGTCCTTAGTAAACCAGGAAGGCCTATAAGTAATCATCTTGGTTGAAGAAATGGATTTAGGTGCCAGGACTCCTTCAGATCTAGGTAGAGCTGGGGTGGGTTGCGTGGGTACAAGGGATGTTAAAAATGCTTTAGATTTTGGCAGGCTGAGCTTGGTTTCTCAGTAACAAAGGGCAAGCTTCTCACTCCTTATCAGAGATGAAGGATTTTTCAGTATTAAACTACATCATTTTTCTTGAGGTCAAAACATGTTGTAAGCATACATCTCTGGAATCACAAATGGAAAAATCTAACCTGTTTTGCAGAAATTGATCTTATAGTTTTTTTTCAGGAACTTTTTTTTTCTTTTTAAGGTAAGGTAGGCATCCTTGTATTATTCTACTAGCTTTAATGAACCTCCTGTTTTCTGGGACTTTAAAAATTCAGTGAAACTGACCTGGAAAAGGTGATCAAGAAGAAAGATAGCAGTCTCCCTCCCTACCTCTCTCTCTCTCTCTGTGTGTGCGTGTGTGTGCGCGCGCGTGTGTTTAATTGTGCAGGTGTGATGAATGAGAATTGCTGCTACATAACAGGCAAAACATAGATTTGTGAATCAGATAGGCATAGCTAAAATTCTGACTCCAGCATTATTAAGTAAGTGTTTTGGCGCAAGTTAGATGACCTCAGATTTCTCACCTGTAACATGGGTATAATCTTATCTATTTAGCGCAGTATTTGGCACTAGCACACAGAAGAGGTGCTCAAGAAATGGCAACTTTGATTATAATAGCAATTATTATTACGCCTTTTAACTCAATAGGCTCAGGAAAAACTTTATGAAATTCATGGTCCACACTTGTTTTAGAAGTTCTACAGCTTTTGACTTTTGCTATTTGGGTAGTGAATCTTTATGCCTGTTAATTTCTGTTTTTGGACTCCAGACTTTGAAATGTGTATAGATTTTATGCTAAGGCGATCGAAAACCAGGAGCCAAGACTCATGGGTTGTGGACATGAGGGCTGGCCAGTCTGTTTTGTGTATCATTCATAAGTCTTAAATTGGTCATTCTTAAGGCCTAATAATGCCGTTGATCAAGATAACTTGGAGTCATTACAGTTAACTTCTTTATCAAATAAATGAATAAAAAAGAGTATACATTACTGGAACTTTCCTTCAGCTCAGTCCCACAACAACTGAGTGAAATTTGATAGAATGGGACTCAGATAGGAATGTTTTTGGAAAAGCTTCTCTGGTGAATCTCCTGCACACCCAGATTTGAGATCTACTGACTCTAAACATTTTAAATTTAAATTATTTTTAATGAATTAATTGCCCCTTCTTAACAGCCAGGACTGTAAGTCTTTTTTATTTAACGTTTTTCTTTCTCTGTTGTCACTCTCAGCTGTCCTATCTCTGGGGGCTGTTTGTCCTTTCTCCTCCTCTTCTGGAGGAGACATTCCCGTTGGAAACATCTAATGATGTTTATAATATCTAGGGAAGCAGCTAACCAAACTTGTTAGAATTGTGGTTCATGATCCTTCTACCCATTTGGCTGGTGGCTTTTTGGTTCTCTGAACTTCCAGTTTCAAGGTCACCAAGTATTAAAATGTCTGTAGTTCCTAGGTCATGGGGCCTGAGAACTAGGAGCCCGGACACATGAATCACAGAGAACAGAGTCAGCCAGTCCATTTGGTAGTCAGTGGCTTCACAGTTCTTAAATTGCAGTGCTTGAGCAGGAACCCCAGGGAACGCACTAGGTACTGAAAGGCAGCGCAGAAGCCACGGAAAACATGGAGGGCTGTGTTTTAATGCTACCTCCATCATTAGCTGTGTGACCTTGGGCCAGTAGTTTACCTCGCTGGACCTCTGTTTCTTTTCTTGTAAAACTAGGTAAAAACTTTTGAAATATTTCCAGCAGAAAAATCATAGAGAATAATGTAACAATTATACGTGTACCTATCGCTCACTCTAATAAATCCTATAACTTTTCCATGATGACTTCTTTATATGTTTGAAGATAATTTTGAAGCCTCTTTTGAACCTCCTCCATAATCTTATTCTCTTTCCTTCACCCCTAGAAATAATCATTATCCATTAATCATTACTGGAGTTTATCATTCCATGTATATTTTATGTTATATCTATACCTGTTTACGAACAATGTATAGGATCATCTTACTGGTTTTTACACTTGAAATGAGTGCTATGACTATTCATATTATTCTTCAATGTACCTTTTTAAAATTTACTGTCATGTGTTTGAGACTAATTCATGTTGATGCTTGTGGCTCTGGTTTGCACTGTATAATGTTCCGTTATATGAATATACCATTTGATGTAGCCCATTCTTCTGTCGGTGAATCTGAAGTTATTCAGGATAGAGAAATTTCAAGGGCCCCTCCAGTTTGAACTTTCTAGGATCTGGCATGAAAATGTAATTTTTCTCAAGAAGTTTTGTAGCAACATCTTTGGCCTTTCCCACTGTCTCAGGTGTCTGCTTTCTCAAGGGAGACCTCGTGGGCATGTGGGAGACTGCGGAAGTCAGATCTTTGGCTGCTGGGGTCATCCCCGTGTTTAGTGAGCACAAAGAGGCCGTTATCATGCAGTGGATCAAAAAGCACAGACTTTGGAATCAGTCAGACTTTGTTTTGCATCCTAACTTTGCCACCTGTGAGTTGTATAATCTTGGGCAAACTACGTAATCTCTGGGAACTTGAACTTCCTCAACTAGAAAATTAGAAACGCATGGTCGGGCGTGGTGGTTCATGCCTGTAATCCTAGTACTTTGGGAAGCCGAGGCAGGCTGATTGCCTGAGCTCAGGAGTTTGAGACCATCCTGGGCAACATGGTGAAACCCCATCTCTACTAAAATACAAAAAATTAGCCAGGCGTGGCAGTGTGCACCTGCAGTCCCAGCTACTTGGGAGGATGAGGCAGAAGAATTGCTTGAACCCGGGAGCCAGAGGTTGCAGTGAGCCGAGATGGTACCCCTGCACTCTTTCCTGTGCAAAAGAGTGAGACTCCATCTCCAAAAAAAAAAAAAAGAAAAGTAGGAAAACAATTTTTCCTGCTTATGGTTGCCATGAGGATTAAAGACGATAATGTATATAAAGTACTTGGCAGCATGCATGCTTCCTAGTAAGTGCTTGATAAAGTGATAGAGCATATAGTGTGTGTGTGTGTGTGTGCGCGTGTGTGCACGTGAGAGGGAGAGAGAGAGAGGATAAGAGAATGCCAAGGCTCTGCCAGGACCAGCGGGCATCTTCCCAAATTATTTCCCCAAGTTATTTCCAACTTAAGAAGCCTAGCATTTAGTTTGTACTTAATAAATATCTGATTACAAAAATGAATAAGCAAGTATGTAAATATATGAGTGAGACAATTAGAAACGTGCATTGACCAGTGTGATCAATGGAAGCAAGTTTATGAAATGACCACAGAGCAGCTTTTCAGTAGTTTCTATTAGTAGGGGGTGACTCAGAAAAGTTAAGAACATTTTTCCTGAAGATCAAATATTCTATTGTACAAATCGGTCATTTCTTTAAATCCCTAAAACAATCCTGCTGAAGCTTTAGACAAATGGTGGCCCCAGAAGCACCATCCAGCTCAGATATGCCCTACACTTTCCTATTTGTCACTGTCACAACTCTCTGTCCTAATTATTCCATCCTGTTTGATCAGCGTTCATCCTCTAGACAGCCTGACTTCTTAAGTGAATGTCCACGTTTACACTAGAGCAGCAGGCACTTCCTGGCTGGCTCCTTCCAGACAAGGAGCCTCTGTTCACCTTGGGACTGGGGAGCAAACAGCCTCTGACTGTCCCAGCTGGTGAGCAACAAGCCCAGTCCTGGGACAGGATATTTCACGTACATATTTCTGAGCAATAAGATGGGAAGCAAACCAATCGGTTATAAGATTGCCAGCCTTTGAAAAAGCAACACTCAGCAATAGCATTTACAGGCTAATGTTTAAGAAAATAAAACCTGTCTATCTACCCAGGATTCCTTTTAAGTGGCAGAGAGTTTGCAAAGGTGTACCATTTCTAAATAAAGTGCTTTTGACAGGAGCTCATGCTGAATGATGGTAGAGTATTGTTATGGTTCTGTTTTACTTTTGAGGCTGTGTTTATGTCCTGTCTGAAGCCTTTAAAAATACCGTATAGACATGTGAGAAACCAGTTTACTTGACTCCTATTTAAAAAAAGAAGGAAAAGAAAACTCACGTTTCTGCTTGACTTAGAGGTTAGTAAATTGAGTGCAGCCGGTTTGTGGTCATTGGGTTTGCTTAGGCTAAATGGATTCAAAGCAGCGATTTGAATCCCTGTCTTGGGGGTCAGGTTGGGGCCTTTTGTTCAGGGCCATCTTGAGTGGCAGGAGGGCCAGGGAGGTGGAGGAATGACAAGTATTATAGGACTGTGGGTTGCTATGGTCTCACACTAGCTTCCAGAGCCCAGCTATTTTCTTCTGTTGAAGGGAAAGCTGGAGAGGGAGAGAGGAGAGAGAGAGAGAGAGAGAGAGAGAGAGAAAGAAACAGAGTAGAAGAAGGAGAGGCAGAAGGTAAGGGCCAGAGCAGCCCCAAGCCTGGCCGCCCCTCACTACCTCCATCCCCCACCCCACTAACCATCACCTTCTCGCTGACCCAGACACAGAATATAAATGAAACACTTTGCCGGTGCGGGACACTAACTGGCAGTGGCCTGCTGGAGCTAAGGCCATTTTCTAAGCAACTCACTAATCAGAAGTGACTGAGGCTCTGAAGAGAATACAGCCCAGCCTGGGATCCACCCTCCATGCTAATGAAGAAGGCAGTGAGGTGGATAATTAAGGGCAGTGATGTGAATAATTCCAAACTGATAATTCGAAGGTAATGAAATGCATTAGGAGTTTGGGGGCAGCAGATTTCCCTTACCAGACAGGGCTGTTTTATGATGAAATAAGCTTGCCTTTTCTAAGCACAGACCAGCTGACTCTGAGTGGTGCTGGCCTGGGAAGACTGGGGTTGCAGGGAGGAGCTGACCCAGGATTAGGAATTCATGCAGCCATTCAAGACAATGTCTAGGAAGCTTACATAACCACATAGGGAGACACGTGTGGTATAATTTTAAGCGAACAAAGAAAGAAGCATGCTAAGTGAATATTTTGGCCAGCTACTGCAATGTGTAAAACAAACAGAACCAATAAACCAAAACTTTATGTATGTGGAAGAAAGATCAGAAAGGACCCTATTAGAGGTTGAATGCCCTTATCTTAAATGCTTGGACAAGAACTGTTTTGGAGTTTGGCTTTTTTTTGGATTTTGGAATATTTGCCTTATACTTACCAGCTGAGCATCCCAAACTGAAAAATCCAAAATCAAAAAAACTCAAAATGAGAATTCCCTTTGAGTGTCATGTCAGTGTTTCTAAAGTTTCAGATTTTGGAGCATTTGCATTTTGGGTTTTTGAATTTTGTATGCTTAACCTGCATTAGAAAGTTTAATAGTAGTTACCTGGGTAACGGAGGCCGGGAGCAGTGGCTTAAGCCTGTAATGATAGGACTTTGGGAGGCTGAGGCAGGCATTATTGCCTGAGCTCGGGAGTTCCATACCAGCCTGGGCAGCATAATGAAACTCCATCTCTTAAAAAAGAAGAAGAAGAGGAAGAGGAAGAGGAAGAAGAAGAAGAAGAAGAAGAAGAAGAAGAAGAAGAAGAAGAAGAAGAAAGAAGAAGAAAGAAGAAGAAAGAAGAAGAAAGAAGAAGAAAGAAGAAGAAAGAAGAAGAAGAAGAAGAAGAAGAAGAAGAAGTAGAAGAAGAAAGTAGTTGTCTGGGTAGTGGGACTATGGGCTATTTCTTTTATTCTCTCTAATATTATTTTCTAAATTTTCTTACATTAACTCAAACCATTTTCATAATGTAAAAGGTGGACATACTAAAATAAGAATTAGCTGTGGCATAATTCTTCCCCAGAAGGGACAGAAGAGATCTGAAAGATGCTAACTTTGTGACTAGCAGATGGGGTGTGCAGTCTAGAGAGGCTACATTTTGCTGCGTAAGTTGTTAGAGGGCCTGGCAGTCCTATTCTGGATAGAAATATTTCCTCTGCGAGATTCAGACTGTGGTTGGGCATGGTGGCTCATGCCTGTAATCCCAGAGATTTGGGAGGCCAAGGCAGGAGAATCATTTGAGGCCAAGAATTCGAGATGAGCCTGGGAAACACAGTGAGACCCCCATCTCTACAAAAAACAATAATGAATTAATTAAAAATAAAAAATAGCCAGCCATGGTGTATAGCCCCAACTACTCCAGAGGCTGAAGTGGGAAAGTCACTTGAGCCTAGGGGTTCAAGGCTGCAGTAAGCTGTGATCACACCACTGCACTCCAGTCTGGGTGACAGTGAGACCCTATCTCTTAAAAAAACAAAATAAAATAAAATAAAAAAGAAATTCAGACTCTCTATAAAATCTCCCTGGCTCAGCTTTTCTAAAAGCTTATGAGATGTTTTCAGAGACGGCGACTTTTTGGCTACTGTGTTTCCACGTTCTCCTTAGGGTAGAACCAATTTCTACCATATTTATTAGCTTTATGGAACCTCCTCCTTGTCATGCATCTTTCTCCAGTCTTCTAGTTTTAGAACTAGTTATGAACATAACACTATCAAATTTACATGGACTCCTTAGTTTACTAAATCATGGGGCTGGCCAAGCTGTAGGGTTTACAAGAGATAGCTGGGAGGCAATGACTGATTATTTCTCATTCTTACTGATGAGACTAATGTAGGAGACTTGGTAGTGAATTACTTATTTTACCAAGATTTTCGTTTAATGAAGGTGATCTACTACCTCAAAATAAAATCCATACTTCCTTCTGCAAATTTTTGGATTTTTAAAGATAATATCTGTTATGGCCTAAATGTTTATGTCTCCCCTACAAAAATTCTTATGTTGAAATCCTAACTCCCCAGGTTATGGTATTGGGAGGTGGGGCCTTTTGAATGTGATTAGATCATGAAGATGGACGCTTATATTATAAGGGGCTGAAGAGACCAGAGTTCTTCCTTTCCATCATTTGAGGACACAATGAAAAACTGACCTTCACTGAATCTGCTAGCACCCCGATCTTAGACTTCCCACCTTCCCAAACTGTGAGAAAAGAATTTCTGTTGTTTATAAGCCACCTAGTTTATGGCATTTTGTTATAGCAGCCTGAACGGACTAAGAGGACCACCTTAGGAACTCTTTGATACTTAATCTCACAATGTTGCTTTTGGTACTGAATCTGCCAGGTGTTTGTGCTGCCATTAGCCATGACCTTATTTAGGGTTGGGTGGGTATTAAATTATTATGCATTGCTGGAGAGTTAAGATCACTCTGTCTTACTGAATTGAGTTGATAACAGTACTTATTGTGATCTTATGATACAAGCCAGATTCTAAAGCCTTGTCCTAAGCGTTTAACATATGTAGTTGCTCTCATGTGTAATCATTTCATAGTTGTATATACTGCAACTTCTGTAACTTAGAAAATGAGAACAACGATCCTTACCTCCAAAGCTATTAAGACAATTAAATACAATAGTATGATTAGTATAGTGTTTGGCAGATTCTAAGTGACATATTGGACCTGTTGAGCAGATGCATGCCAGTTACAATGCTCATTCGGACAAAGCCAAAGGATGTTTACGAAACCCACAGCCCCTTCTGAGCACTTCCTCATGTGGAGGCCACCATGCTTGTATTCCAAGGCCCTGCCCTGTTGAATTCTGAGGATTAGACTCAGGGAGGGCATTGGACCTAAAAACAGTCATTCTCTAGCTGATCAATAGCTTATGTAGTTATACCTGTCTCTGCCTATCCGGAATAATAGTGACTAGCCCACTCAATCAGGTCCTGTTTTAGAAAGCTGGACTCATAACATACTTGGAGGGTCCAGCAGCAGGAGCAATACAGACTGAGCTACAGCTCTTCTCTGCTTCACTCCTTTTCCTCTCTCCCCTTTCTTCTGGAAACAGACCCCAACCTTCTAGCCGTAGCTACCTTACCTGGGTCAGAGTACTTTCCTTGGATTTTTCTGATTGGGTTCTGGTTCTTCTCAGGTTAGGAGGTTCTGTGCAGCCAGGTTTCCTATGCACATGCCTGCAAGGGCCAGGTAGGTAACTTCAGTGAGAATTGACCAGGTGCAAAAATAATGGGCCTGGGGAGGTCTCAGGGCCAAGCACAAAGGATGTCTGCCAAAGGCAACCAAATTAAAGGAGCATGTGTACCTGTCTTGACCAATAAAATAAGTGAAGTTTTAATGTAGTCCCCACTTCCAGATAATGTCAACTCAGAAGCCTAGTGTGAGATCCACTCACCCTAAAAATGGACTTTCTCCAGGAAGAGATACCATGGCTACAAGCACTTTATGGAAGGTGGCTCTTTGTTTGGTAACTGTCTGTCTCAACAATATCAAAGATGGAAACCCTGAAGGAGAAGATGGATCTATGTGTCTGAATAAATAAAACTTCTGTAAGTTAAAAAATAATTGTAAATATAAATATAAGTGCATAATAATATGCTATACAATAAATATACAATATGTAAATAAATATAAGTCTAATAACTAAATTACAAGACAAATGACAAGCTTTAAAAAGTACTTACATTGGTCTATGTGTCTGTTTTTGTATCAGTTCCTTGTTATTTTGGTTACAGTAGCTTTGCAGTACGGTTTGAAGTTGGGCAGTGTGATTCTTCCAGCTGCGTTCTTTTTGCATAGGATTGCCTTGGCTGTTTGGGCTGTTTTTTGGTTTCATATGAATTTTAGAATAGCTTTTTTCTAGTTCTGTAAGAGCCCAGAAATAAAGTCACACACACACAACAATCTGATTTTTGACAAAGCTGACAAAAACCAGCATGGGAAAAGGAGTCCCTATTCAGTAAATGGTGCTGGGATACCTGGCTGGCCAGATGCAGAAGATTGGAGCTGGACCTCTTCCTTTCACAGTATACAAAAATCTACTCAGGACGGATTAAAGATCTAAATGTAAAACCTAAGACTATAAAAACCTAGAAGATAACCTATGAAATACCATTTTGGATGTACAAACTGGCAAAGATTTTATGATGAAAATGCCAAAAGCAATGACAACAAAATTAAAAAATTGACAAAGCACTTCTGCACAGCAAAAGAAACTTTCAACAGAGTAAGACAGGCAACCTGCAGAATGGGGGAAGATATTTGCAAAATATACATCTGATGGAGGTCTAATATCCAGAATCTACAAGGA